CAGGACCGTAGGTATACATATGCTCCGGCTTTGCATTTAATAATATGATGTGTAAATAAAGTATAAATGTTAAAATGCATTTGATTGCGAAATTGAAGAAATTGATCTCAGTTGAGCGCATACAATGCGTACGTGTGTTAAATCTCCATTTATTGAACACGATAAAATGCAGCGTAGTATACTGTTTGTTTTACAAGGGAATATTTTTGTTACAAATTCAATATTATTTTATGGATTGGGGCAATTCGATCATCGCTTCGATTTTACATGGAAAATCATTTTAACTGTGATTGCATTAAATGGACAGAGAGCAAGTGGTAGATATTGATTTAAACCCACACACACACATACACTGTTCCAGCAATAATAATAATAATTAAAACTGTGTAATGAAAATCGGGACGAGAAAAGTTATGGTAAATGGCATGGTTTTCAGAAAGTTTGATTTATAATTATAGCACAAGAACACACGACCTCATGCACAAAAAAGCAAATTGAACTCTGAATGTTTTTTTCACTTCGCTCGTCGCTATTTATTATGAGTTGGTAAAATGTTTGTAATTTATGATGTTGTACATTTTGTTATTAAATCCTGCTCGTTATGCATTAGGTCGAGTGGCTCCATATGTGTATTTGTTTGCCATTAAACGGTGCAATGCACTACAACGTCATCATCGTTGACGATGCTTGTTATCGTTTCTTGTCGCAATATCAAAGGATCGCAGTTTTATTTTCAATGGAAAAGTGGTATGACTATGATGTTGTATGCACAACTAGCTTTGTAAGTCACTTGTTGAGTGAAAAAAGCAACGGTGAAGGAGAAAGAGACTGAAGCTCATCAAGTGATTGTTCCATATAATGAGCGTTCAAAATGGAAACGCCTTTTAGTGTGATGGCAACATGTTCCATAAATAATTAATTTGTTATAATTCATGTCCGGACTGCAATGTGCTAGAAAATGATTGACAAATTGGTTACCCACCCAACAAAATTTTGAAAAATTCAACTTAATTAGGACAGTCAAACATAAGGTGTTATCATCTCATACATATTTCATTCAATTTGTTAGTTGTTTTTTTTTTATCCTGTTTCCGAGCTGCCTGTTTATCCTATTTAAAATATTCCGTACTCTCACGATGTACTTGATGATGCGAAGGAAAATATGGCACATTGTTATAACACAGTCGAATGGTGCGCTCAAGCAAGCACATTGACATTTGCGATTCATTGTTCTCTCTCTCTCTCTCTCTCTCTCTCTCTCACACACACACACACACATACAATATTGATATAACAATGAAACCGCCTGGATATCTTTACTCCGAGTCTTTGCATTCATTTCGTTCGGGCTATTCATAAGTAAATCACAGTATGGCGACTGTGATTTCGCGATTACAATGTTCTCATTTCCGTCCATACAATGAAAATTACATCATAGCTAATCTTTGAAATTACCCACAGTCTTTTGCATCTTTTTTGCGGAAATTCGCCGTGAGTTCTAATATAAACGGAGTTGTTAGTTTTTTTTTTCTTCAGGTCCAAGTTCAACCATACTCAAACATATGGAAAATGGAATTTAAATATTCGTCAACATGACACCAAAAGTAACACCATTAAAAAAAGTTTCATACAACGTTCAGGCTCAGCATGCCGCCGCATCCATAACTTATTTTCAATTTCTTTTTATCTCCTTATGCAAACCCATTTTTCCATCATTTGTAAAGTTCACTTGACTTTTTTTTCTTGATACAACAACGTTTTTTCGGACAAATTTTTTACTTTTCACTCGTTTCGATGTTTTTGGAATTTTCAATTTAATGTTTACCGCCGCAAATCGCAGGATTAACATGTTTATTCCAAACGATTACACATAAAATAAGTTGTCACATCAACGCTATATTACCAAATATAATTTTGGTTCTTTTCTGATTGGGGCCAGTTCACAGTTGACATTTTTTTATGCTAAACACATTTAATAGATGTGATGATTTTTCAGGTGTGAACTGGCCCCTGGGTTGAACTGATTTTTGTGCAAACTAAAAAATGGGAGTTTTCCTAATAAAAAGTTTTGCTACGGATGATCGCAATATCCAGAACAAAATATGAGCAAATATTACGAAATCGATTGAAAAAGTTCCACGTGCCATCTCGATTTTCGCCAATAAAATTTCATTATGAAAATTGTGTACTTGCGTCGAATGGGAAGCGGCAATCTTACAAATGTAATGACAATTTACTTTTTATGTTTGTTACCATAAATGGCAATTTCATTTGGGTATAAGATGCGATAGAGCTTCACTTTTCATTCACTTGCATCATGAAAATGTAATCAAAGTTTGTTTACATTTTGTTGAACGATAAAATATTGTGAAACATTCTAAGAAGTTTATTTTGCAATAAATATAACTGAAAATTAAAAAAAAAATGCGAATAAAAGCCGAGTGTCACAGACAGACCGAAATGGGTGCATAAAGCGCATGAGAAATTAGTATGCATTGTTTGAAATGTGACATTCAAAGGAATGATTGCATGATAAAGCACCAAAACAAATTTCATACGATGGACGAATATTCATGGAGACGAAAATGGCAATGGTGATTTGGTCAGATGATGACGGTGGTGGTGGTCAATTTTCCTGTTCTTTTGGATGTACCGGTGCATGAATGACAATTCATGGCAGTGAAATGAGAACAGTAGAAAGCATTTTAATTTGTTGAAATGAAATGAATGTGAAATATTCCATTTTGTGTTCTTTTTTAGTTGTTTTTTTTTTATTTTGTAATTTTAGAAAACAGAATACCGAATATATATGCATGAATGTGGAACAACGACATGCTCACAATAAAGCTAGAAAAATAAAGAAAGACAGGGAGATGGATAATGGAATGCCCGAGTCAAATAATCTACAAATTGGAACTAAATTACATATTAAACGAATAAAATATTATAACGACCATTATATCAACGGGTCGAAATGATACGAATTGAAGCGAACAGGGAGAAGAAAGAGAAATGTGCGCCTTTGGAATGCCAGCACTGTTTGATCGAGTGAAACGAATGAAATGAAAGTGAAGCATGGCAATCGACAAAAGCACAATGCAATTAATGGTGCGGTAGCTCCAAAGAAACTGGGTGTTCCACTCATTGTCATTTGTTAGTGTGAAGAAGAAGAAGAAGAAAAAAACGAGAAATAGCGGGTAGTTGCCTAACGCTATTATTATTGCCACACTGAATCCAAGGTAATTACCGTTAAAACGAGGAGGAATGTTGTGCAAAGAACAAACCGTGGAATCCAGAACAGTTTTATCCTATGCGTATATAAAGATATACGAATAGTGTGTAAGCGTGTATGGTGTATGAAATACGGTTGGGCGCAATGCTCTTTTGAATCTATTCAATGTTTTTATCATTGCTAAAATATGCTGAAATGAAGAAATTGTTCGCATTTGCCGAATGTCTTCTTGCCATGAGCGGCGTCAGTGTGCTCCTTTTTGAGAGGATACACATATTTTGAAGATGAAAGAACTTGCGAATATTGCAATTTGACTGGCACACACACGTTCGAACCAATATGTTGTAATGTTTGGTGTTGTCAAAGGTAAAATATTGAGTGTGCCATTCTGCTACGACTCGAGACAATTTAATGATGAAATATTTGCATCTGACAGTCATCAAGTCATCAGAACATCATCAACGAAATAAAAACACTTCCCTGATATACATATAAAATGTGATTTCATCATTCTCTAAAAAACATCCATATAACTATGTAACTTGGTTTTGTGCAAAAAAAACCATCTATTTCATTAGTGATGCATATATAAATGCAAATGGTAATATTAGAACACGCAAACAAACCATGATTATGTGTTTGTAAAAGAGCATAAAAAGTGCGAATATTTGTCGATAATTTTTCTTCATAACACATTGCATGCATCCAATATGAGTGAACAAGCGTCGCAACATTGTCATTATTACGACGCGAATTTATTTGATCCGCAGTTAAATCATAATATGCTTTTTGCTCTTTACTGTGTTATGTATATGCTTCTCATCCATAAAAACCATGGAATTTTTCAATGTTGTGGCAACACCGAAATGACTGACTACGAATAAACATTGAAAATTATTTATTATGAGCATGGCATAGCCAACATTTCGTACAAAGTTTTCTGTTCGTTTATTTTCTTTCAACTTTCTTGTTTCTCTTTGTTTCGCTGCTACGACTTACTATAGCGAGTGAAAACCAACATGTTTTACCAACAGAATAGATGTGGAATGAAAAAATGGAAAATTGAACGACAGACGATACGATATCACGTTAGAGTCCATAAACCGAGTGCAATGAATTTGGCCACCGATTGAGACACACGATTGGATGGAAAGAGACAACAGACGGCACACATCTTACGATGACAAATGGTCTGTATGTACAAGTAACAGTATGCTAGCCAGCGCACGTACACATAAAATATTTGTGATTTTTTTTCTTCTTCTATTCTTCTATCGCTGACAAAGCTCTTTCGCTCATATTCGAATGCGCGTACAATTTCTGGGACCTGTTGCAATGCGAGGAGAGTAACGATGGAAATAACCACTAACAAAGCCAGCCAACCATCCAGCCAACAGAGCAATATACAGTCACTTGTTGTTGCTGCTCAACATACGAATAAAAAAATATGTGCGAAACAAAGCGAAGCTTTGAACAACGCTCAGTGCGCATGCCGGTAAAATACACACTTACAGCTGGGAAATTCAAACTCTCACCTTCTCACTCTCGCTCTTTCCCTGCGTGTATCCTCCGTATTTGGGAGCTTGTCTGTTTTTTTTCATTGCTCATGGTCTGTGCTTTCGAAGGAAAAAATTTGCACTCACATTCGTATCGCTTTCAATACGCACGCTTTTTCTCTCCCTCACGCTTTGCTGTTGTCTCTTTTGGTGTTGTTAACATTCAATCTAACGCTTTTCACGACCGATTCATTATCAAATGTTTGGCTCAACTGGTATGAACTGGACGAAATTTGTATCGCAACAGTTGAGCTCGAAACACTCATCGCGCGACACTTGTCGCTTTATTCGCAATCAGTTTCAACGTTGTGTTTTCGTGAATTCGATAATTTTCCAGTCAAATTTCCCTGCCCAAGTTTTTAATTCAGTTTTTGTTCAATTCCAATATTATTATAAAATTTCTCGTTTCAATTTTTGCCGTTTATGAAATCAATTTACATCGCAGTTTAGTTGAATAGCACACAAAAAAATCAAAACGAATTGAATTTATCTGAGCAAGTGTTTTTGAGATTTTGGATAGAGACATTTTCTATCCAACTAAGTGTAATTGGTGTACTCGTTTTTTTCGTGTTTCAAGTAATAAAGACTGAAAAGTACACTACAAACACAATTGGACAAATCAAAAAAAAAATAAAACAATTGAGCACTTCGAGGCAAACGAGTGTGGGAAAGAAATCACAAAACAATTTTCGAATTAAGAAGTGAGCGTTTTAGTGCACGAGTAAGCAAACACAAAAAAGCAATTCGTTTGTATTTTATTTCAGCAAAATTCTCGTGAAAATCCACAACCAAAAGGCATTTGCGCAAACATGGTAAGAAATAAAAAAAAAAATGATTTGGATAGATTGGTAAAACAGACATTGAAAAAAACAGACAAACGCGCAATTACATGACACTGTAAAATTCTGTGAATTTGATAGCATCGTTTATAGGAGTTTTTTTTATTGGCTGTATGCAATTAAATTTTCATTGATGGATGATTTTTTGCACATTTTTATCACACATACACACAAAAGCGCAAATCAAAATGAATAATAATGTAAATTCCGTTGAAATATTTGAACGTATACTTCTTGGAAAAGCAGTCAATCCATGTGAAAAGTATTATTGTTCATTTGCTGTCTGCGTTAACGATTCACATTATTCAATCATAAAATGCAGAATTTTCAATAAAACCCTAAATAAAATCATATAGATGATAGATCGATTTACAGACATGAACTTAATTATTTTAGTAGTCTCAAGTTGAGACTCTCAACTACTTGCAAATTGAATTGAGACGAATTAAGCAGCTAAACAACGCTTAAATTGAACAATTCAAGTGAACTGACAAAAAGAGTGAGAGAATAACGAATGGTCAAAATAATTTTCGATGCGAGATCTATCCCCAAACGCATTAATAACACACAGTGAGAGAGAGCGAGAATGGATAAGGAAGAAAGTGGGGCAAAGAACGCAAACGGGCGAATAAACTCCGTCTTAAGTGAACGGAATATATTTGATGTTCAACAGTTTGTGAGTCTTTGCATGTATCTATCCATATATACATAGAAATGAAAATATAAGCATACACAAAATGTATAAAAAGCCAAAAGATTTGAAACCAAAAAAGCTGTAAAGTGTATACATGAAATAAGATAATGCAACTCTATATAAACGATATATACACTCACAAATACAAAGGATTTTTTTTCTTGAAATGTTCGAGAACCAAGACGACGAAAACGACAACAATGACGACGACAACGTCGGCGCTGAAAAGCACCATCGAAACAGTACGATTTACGTGAAAAAGGTAAACGTAAAAGCTGTATTCTATGATTTACGAGACATTTGTACACAAATATGCACGTAGGCAAGAAAACACAATGCCAAATCAAGTCACAAGTTTGAGCCATGGATACACATTTAATGGCAAACCAACCGAAATTTTGTTGTTCTCTCAATTTTCTTGTTTTGCTGAAAAATGACGCCGTGCACACGCCAAGCACTTCTATCGCTCTCTTTTTTCTCTCTTCTTGTGTCGATTCAGATACAAAAGCGTTGTACATGGCTACGTATGTAACCGCATTATATGGCTTGATAAGGTAACCGAAAAAGTGCCCTAAGCAAAAAGAAATTAAGACGAGAATGTATAGCATTAAAAAGAAGATGAGAAGGGAAAAAAGTGATGCGTTTGTGAAATAAACAAAAGGAAGGAAAAAAACGAACGAAAGAAATTCGATCGTTTCCAATGCATTGGAAAATATGCCCGAAATCGGGTTGAAAGCGAAATAAAAAATACGCAAATGAAAACAACTCAATTGAATTAATGTTATTCGTTATCATGGCCGAATAGTATGTAGATAAGCCCTATGAAACAGGTCAATTCTCCTATTATAAAGCAAATACACCACGGAACGCCACCTTTTTTTGAGGAAAATAAAACAGCAACAAGAAAGTCGGGTTCATTCAGCCTTTGCAAAAGTTCTGCGAATGAAAAAACTGCACCCAAAAACCAATTTCAATAATAAAGGACAGTAAACAGAGAAAATCGATTAGCATGAATTTAGTGTGTTGTGTCCTGGGTGTTTTTGTGCACCTTTCTCTTTCTCTCAATATTTGTGCGTATCGATGTGGTGTCTATTGATGGTGATGTGTGTGATTTGGGGCGTACGCGTAGACAAAATCATAAGTGCAAAATTACGCTCGTTTTATTTTATTATTTTTTTATTCGACAAAACACCATTTCTCAAACCAAGTACTTTATACTGAATGTATCCCATACACCTCACATATACACCGTTGTCTTTCTTTGCCATTTCGTTATCGATTTTTTTTTCTCAATTCAGTTAGAAAACCTGAGATGCCGTATCTGTGCGTAAAACGTAAAATTCGCACGTATCATATCGTGGTGATTCCATTTAGATTTCACTGTGTGTACAACTGTACATGTGCATGTTTAAAGAAATGCTACAAATTGAGATGCCATAGCGTTTTGGATCGAAGTGAAAATCGCGTTTACTTTAGATCATTTATTTGGATAACATGTTCAAATAAATAAATGAACTATACATTTTTCTCTTTATACCTGAATGTATTCAATGAAATATGTTGAGAAGTGTTGGTGGGGTTTTTTCTCTCATTCAAAACGTTTGACTAAAGTATAATATTGGTTCTTAATCAGTTGCTGTTGTCCATATCATTGAGAGCGTCATGTGTCAAGGTATCGTCAATGACAAGACCAACTTTTCACGCTTGATGCTTTTCCATTTTTGATGATGAAAATTTCCCGTCTCGTCGTCGGGAGTGAACGAAATAGAAGATAAAACAAAAAGAGAAAGGGGAACACATTTTATCTGCTTTTGCAGCAATCTCTCAACATGTTAAGCATATTTTCGTACCGCATTCTATCGTTTGCATTGCTTGAATGTCAATTTTCTTTTTCTGTTTGTGATGTCTATGCTATCGATGTATGCTTCAAATATCTCTCATGCTATTGACTTTATTTTACTCACTCACTTTGTCGCTTTCGTTCTTTCCCATTTTATTTCATGCTTTTCTGTGGTTGACTAAATAATTTTCTATTTGATTTACCACGAATCTCTGTATATAAAGTTATACACACACAAACGCATTGTACACAACCAATGAAACATTGACATAAATACACACGCATACAAACACACACACACACAGAGAGAGAGGTAGAGGGAGAAAATTTGGAAGAGCATAATGAGGTAACCGAAAATCTCCATTAATGGAATTTTGTTCACTTTCCATATCGATTAATGCCCATTTGTTGTCAGTCACTTCAACACAGTCGATTAATTTCTAGTAGGGTGTTTAGCAAAACTTCATTTACTTTTAAAAAATACATACGCTCAAAGGGTGACAGCATTTTGCGCATCATGTTGTAACATCATTTCAATCAATTTGACGGCCAATCATTTAATTTCACAAAAAAATACAATTACGCTTGTACAAATTATATCTATTCCAGGCAAAATGCTTGACTTGACTTTATTAACTGACATTTATGTACATTTACATTGATCGAACATTTTTGTACTCCATTTTTTCCATAATATGGAGATTTTATACTAGTTCTCAATGCAGCTGTTTTTCATGTCATGTTTTTTTTTTCAACTTAATTTATTACAGCCATTTAGTCGAGAAAAATATTATGCACCCAATTTATGACATCATTATATTGACTATATCGCTTTTAATCATGTATGCCAATTTCCAAAACAGATGAAAAATAGTTCTTTGAAAGTTCAAAATGTGATTTATTCTATAATTGCTCTGAAACAATTACATTTAAATGTGTTTAAAAATATGCGCATATTAGTGGTGAGCCATTGATTCAATTGAATGACATGTAATATAATGATTTAACTCACAATGTCCTATTTACATCAAACAGAATAAACTTGGAAAGTTTTTCTGAATCATCTGTATAAATTAGGGTATAATCAAATAATAGAAAATTCCAAAGAAACATAGCTTGTGACTGTTAACAATTGTATCAGAAGAAGTTGAAACAAACTCTTATTGAAAAAGTTCATAACTACACATAGTGTGGTTTTTGCCTCAAAATTTTCGCTCCTATAAGTTATACATGTAATAAATGTTGCTAATTTTTCCATATAAGAGCCATTTATGTTTGGGTCACCTTTAAAATATGAAAATACGTTTTTGAAGATTGTTTGTTATGTTCAAATAATGAGTGGTCTCATGAAAATGTGTAGCGACCGTCATAAATTGGTTGATTCGTGTAAAAATATCATTTCCATGAAACCTTTCCCCTGCCGGAACTCAACAAAGTGCCATAAAATTATTCTACAAAAAATGGAAATGTTGAAATTTAAGAAAGGTGAGTGGGTGCGAATGAATTGGAGCGAAAAAGGAGTCAACATCCTGCATAGTTTCTATTTGATACAAAAAAAAAAAACTTTTCAGAAAATAAAACCCCGATTCAAAATGAAATCATAGTTGAAATAGGCAAATACAAGGTGGTTGGCAACTTGGTAACTATGGTAGTTTTGTGTTTTCATTTTCGACTTATTTTCTGTAAGAACAAACCAATTTCCTATTTCCGAGAAGTCGAACAATTTAAATACATATTTTCATGTCAAAAAGATGAAAAATATTCTCTCATATGGAGTTAAGCATATTAAAATTGTTGGAAACTTTATTATTACATACACATACACACGCGCATACATCATAACTTGAACTTTAGTTTCGGTTTAATTTTGTCCAGTTTTATAGTTATGCAAATACTGGATTTGCCTCAAATGCGTGTGAGTATGTGTCCCTATAGGGCAATAATTTTACATGTATAATCGAATCACAAACCATTCCATTTCTCATTGTGTGTGCAGGATAACAGCAACAGCTTTGCCCCGGCTGCATAAATGGATAGAAGAATAAAAGAAAAAAAATATATTATGAACATAAAAGCTGTTACATACGCCAAATTCATTTGTCACCAATTACACACTTCAATGATTGGCAAACAAGAGCCTCAAGCACAAACACAACCACACACACACATGCACTCACTGTATTCGCAAGAGACGAAACCAAACCGAGAATGGAACATTTAACGGCACATTATCGAATAATGGAAATAAAAATGAATAAGCAATAAGAATATTATAAACGCATTGCATTTTGAGTTTTTGTTCGTTTTTGTAACAATCTACCTTCTGTTTGGGACTGATACGTTCGCGATTCATATGTTGAAAACTGGAAAAGAATGAAGTGAATCCCAGTGTGCAGCTTGTGTGTTCAATTTTGGTATTTTTTCTCGTTACAACCGTTA